ACTAGGCAGCTTTGCCTTACTTAATAGTTCATCATAATCTGCCGTCTTGCTATTGTATACTGCACGTAGTGCCCGCTCTTGCACCCTTTCTAGTTTTCTAGTATCAGATGCTTTACAGAAATGCCACACTGTATGACAATACGTGAGATTAGGTAGAATTGCCGCTTTGTATAGTTGGAGCTTGGCTTCTGTTGGGATCATCTTCCTAAGGCGTACTAAGACACTAACTCTCTTGCTTGCCTGTTTACATATATCACTTACATGTTTACTGAATTTAAGCTTATCATCCAGTGTAACCCCGCGCAATTTGAGGTCTGGGGTGGACTTGATGGTGTATCCATCCGCAATGTTTACATTTATGAAATGGTCGCTGTTTTTCCCTCATAAATAAAGCTACAATTTACGTACGTTTACGTCCATGTTGATACAGAGATCTTTTATTGCATGGTGGCAAATTACAATATAATTAAGTTGACGTTAACTGTAAATATCGGGGTCACTGAACATCTATCACTAGTCTACTGAGAGATTATAATTAGAGCTATAGTGGACCGCAAGCCGCTGTCGTAATTAGCAAATGAAAGTTTGCATAACNATGAGCTGACAACCTCAGTCATGACAAGGTCTGAAATACAAAGTTATGCATCAATACAATGTAAACTCATTTTTAATATACAGTCGAACATAGATTATATGGACTTGTGGGGACTGAGCCGAATAGTCCAGATAATTGAGAATCAAGATAATTGAAAATATGAATATAAATGAGCCAAAAATAAAACTGAATGACTGAGCTAATGGAGCGTGAAAGTTTGTTTAGCAACAATGAAAATGAAGCTATTTTTTTGTTACTGCAATAAATCTTACGTTTCGAAATCAACTATCAGTCTCTAAAGCAAAAATAGTTGCTGGTGAGTATCTTTCAGTGAACCAGTTACAGTATGGCACTTGGCAACTTTAACCCTTTAACCCCTAAGGAGTCTCCCTTTGATGAGTAAAAGCGTCTGGCATAAGCCAGAGTAAAATCTGTTAAGTCACTCTTAGGAGGGAAAAGGTGAAGGGAAATAGTTTTAGAACACTTTAACTCCTAAGGGTCTCCCTTTGACGAGTAAAAGTGAGTTTAAGATGAATATTTTTCAATAATTGCATCATAATTCACATAACTTTTGCTCTTGACTCTCTTTTCTTGTTTGTATCAACTATGAAGCCTTGCTGAGTCTTGGCAGCTCCAGATGTTGTCAGAGCTAATCTGCTACAAGGTCAGACGCTCTGACAGGACATATCATGATGACATTGAATACGGTCATCAGCCGCTTAAAATTTATGCTTATGACCATGTCGACAATGTCCCCAACTTCTTGAACTACATCCTAGCCGAAAGAAAGTCAGATTTAATTAATGACAACACAAAGTATTAAGGAACAATGAACATAAAGGCTTAGAAGAGATACATGTACACTGTACATACACTCTTACTGGGTAGAGGTATATGTCTGACATTGGTTGGGAGAACAATAAAACAAAGACAGCAGCACACTAAAAGAAACAATGTTCCTACAGTAGCTCCAAAAACCAGCAGAGGTGTAGGTTACCAGGATCTAATGAAAACTAAGGTTTAGTATTGTGTACACTGATTACATTGTCGAGGAAAAGGTTGTTGTTATTCATCGTGGTAGATGCAATAATAAAGTGTATTATCGTTTGT